GTTTTCATCAGGGGGAGTAAAATACGCGATGCACTCTTTTTCCCTTACTAAGGCTTTTTCCCATGGAGTTTTCCTTATAAGGTTTTTACTGAGGCACCTAGCAATGCGTATTACTAAATATGCGTACTCTTTTTCCTTCACTAAGATTTTTTCCCACATGGCTTTTCCTAGTAAGGTTTTAGTGAGACACATTATCTTTTAATGAACATCCAAGGGGGAGTGTTATAAATATATTATATTATGGATGTTCATTTAGTACTCCGTTGTAAATAATCTTCCTGAAGAAGCTTATCCATATTAGACTCCACCGTAAATATGTTTATCTATTTAGTACTCTATTGAAAATAAGCTTCCTGAAGAAGTTTATCACTTCGGTACCCGGTTATGGATAAATATTACCCTAGGTAGAAGATTATCCATACCGGGTATAATAAGCTTATCCATTCAGTACTCCGTTATGGATAAACATTGCTCTCAGTAGAAGATTATCCATATCTGGTATAGTAGCAGCTTACACAACAGCTTGTAGTAGCAGCTTACACAGCAACTTGCAGTAGCAGCTTACACAGCAGCTTGCGTAGCAGCTTACACAACAGCTTCCTTTCTTCTATAAATAGAAGAGATTTCAGTTCTTTATGTACATAAGTTTGAATTCGAATAATATATCAGTTTCTCTCTATACTTGTCTTTACTTTACAGTCTTTATTTTATAACAATGTTGATATTAAAAAAATACTAAGCAGTATTAACCTATAGACAGAATTCAGCTTGTAAGAAAGCTTAGGTCTAAAATTTTAATGATTTTAAGACTTTATTTCCTATTTCAAATTAATATTTACTTCATATTATTTTTAGACAGTGTCGGTCTATTGTATACAAATATATTATTTTTAAAAAATATTATTTAATATATATATATATATATATATATATATATATATATATTATTTAAAATTTACAAACGATATCGGATAATATTCAGAGTATCTCTAAAAATGAGTCGTTATTTTTATTCTTATTTTAGCTAATGAAGATTTTGAATCTGGTTTCAAGATTTACCCCCAAACTTCTTTGTCAATTTTATAGTTTGTTTGACCAAGTTTCTTTTTGGCAAAATTTATTTTTTAATTAAAAGTGTTTTTTTTTTTCAAAGTTAGTGTTTGGTCAAGTTTTTAGAATGAAAAAAAGTGTTTTTGGATAGAAGCAGAAATAACTTTTAAGAAGCAAAAAAACATAGTTGTTCCCAAAGCACTTTTTGAAAAGTATTTAAAAGCACTTTTTAAAGTTGGTCAAATACTCAAAAGTGTTTTTCAAGTTAATTAACTCCTCACAAATAACTTTTCGCCAAAAGTACTTTAAAAAAATATTTTCTAAAATAAACTAATTTAAAAACGATGGGTCAAAATGCAATTAGGCTATAAGTTTGAACTAAGTACTAGAAATTAGATATGGTGAAAGCCTTATTAGAAACCCTGGAGAACATAAATGGAGGTTTGTCACTTCAAAACAGTGCAAACATGATTTCTGACTGACTAGAATATTGCTTGTCATTAGTTCTTAAACATTACTTTAATAGGTAAAGCCAATTAAAACTGGATGTTTCCCAAATCATATCAAGTTTTACCAATTCAAATTCAAGTGTCTCTTTTTCGGTAAGTTTTAACTTCAATTAATTTTTAAATAGGACCATCTTTCCTTTGTTTATAATATTAACTATCAAGTATTTTCTTTGTGTGGGGTTTATATACTTTGATGGAGCTTGGACCCACTATTTGGATAAGATTATAATAGTGCTATTATGCTGGTGAGATTTTGACATATTCTCGTTTTCGTAGAGACTCGTTCCATTTCTATTTAATCTATTTTCCTATTTTAGTCCTGTTAGGTTTGCCTTTGTTAATCTCATTATGACCATCCTTTTTTCTTTTGCTTTTTCTTTTTCTTATTATCATCACTGGGGTTGAAAAATTAACCCCATCTTCGTTTTATTTTTTTTATATTTTATTTTTAATTGAACTTGTTTTTTCGCTTAAATACAGTTATCTCTTACTGACAGTTATTGTATCCAGCAAAATAGGACATGGATTATAACTGTTTAATTAGAAGTGAGATTTCTGTTCATATGAAGTGTTTGAAATCGCCTACTCTACGCCTTCATAAGATTTCTTTACTCCTGATTACGTTTTTCTAATTTCTAATTACAGAGAAGGAGAGAACAAGCTTTTAATCTTTATATAAATCTATGGCAAAACTCAAAAGTATTCCAGAAAATAGCATAAAATCAGGTCAATGAAGAAGCTAATTAGTTACCGCCCACCAGACAAGTTGTTGCCAGATTTGGACTTCTTATCTAATAATCCAAGATAAAATGTGGAATTATCTTATCATGTGTTTCGTTGAAGATTTTTATTCGAATATAAGTAATACCAGGATTATTTATACCAAAATTTTGACATTATTTTTATACCACATTCACACATGAGATGAAATTAAATGGAGCAACACTGGTTAATGATGATTCATTAGTCGACCTTGACTTGTTTGATACTGAGGAATAGTTGTTGTATTTGTTGTTTTATACCACATTCAACGTGGGATAACAATCTCGGGGTTAGCTAATACAAGGATAAACCAACCAAATGACAAAGATGTCCTTGTCCAAAGCTCTTCTCTCAAAGCCCTTTAAGAAGGCCAATATTAAAAATAAATAAAAATTTATCCAAACTTCAGATAGAAAACCAAACATATATGTTATATTATACCACGTTATCTCATTTTTAATCCAAATAGACCAAACATCTATTAGAAAAAAATATATCCACTATATAATTCAATTATTGTTTAATCTCCAATTATAATCCCCACATTATAATCTCAATAACTTGTCCGAAAATCAAATGAGGGGACATCAATAATTGGAATATGGACTTATGTTTCTCATTCAATCATTCATGCACAATATGAGAAAGCAGCCTTTGTTTTCAGTAAGTGAAAAGTTCGACTCCAACCTCTCCCCCTTGTTCTTGGAAGCATAAGAAGAGGGGTCTTCAAATTCATGGACTACTATGCTTTTGAACAATTGAACTAGGTTTTGAAGGTTTTCCTCTGAACATATTGTCTTATAGAACTGCCAGATTGTTTATCCAAAGGTCTAAACAGGGGGTTATAATTACCCCCATTTCATCGGACACCTACAAATATCCTCACTTCATGGACACAACAAATCGACATCTCAACATGATACATCCACACATATAATCTAAATCCAAGAGTTAGTTATTGGATACCTGAGCAACTGCATCTAGTAGAGCTGACTTAACACCAAAGAAATTTCTTTTCTAGTCTAGGACTTGTAGCTTTGGAAATTAAATAAAAATCCTGCAACTCCTCCTGAAATTTTGATCTGTGATCAGAAATGTCTAGGCGGGATCTTGGATAAAAACTCTTCAATTACCGTCTTTTGAACATTTGAACTGTGTAATGAAAATTTCCTCTGAACATACCATATTATAAGACACATACAATAGCCAGATTGTTTACCATAAGGGAAAAACTTGGGAGAGAACCTAACCACATTGCACAAACGGAATACCTGTATCCAGATTTTAAACCAAAGCACTGCTAGCAAGCTGCATCATGTCAACTCCGAGGAATCAAAATCTTTGAAAGATATTTGCAATCATATGCTGCTGCCTGCTTTTGTCCATCGATGTCAAGTAACTGCATCTTATGGACAGAGCATAGTTCAGGTTCTCTGCTTAAGAGTAACTTCATTGATCTGCACACGAGTTTTGGGTCGATAGTGGTCATCTGTATCTACTTCTTCGATTTCCTGAATAGCCATAACCAACCATCAGCATTAAGATGGGGAGAGAAAAGAACAGAGAAGACTAAAATTCTCATCGCTAGGCGTGCAGCTTGCCAATGGGGTTTTGGCCAGTTTCCCGATGACTTATCATTTCATCATGAACCATAATGAAATAAATTTCCAAATATACTCCCAGTATGGACTTGAGTTTTCACTAAATATTAAATAGTGTGGAAATCCGGTGAAATATCGAATCTCTAACTCTGTCCTTTAACCTCTTCATGCAAAAACTGATAGGAAAAGGAAAAGGATCTATACCTGGACAACCTCTTCTCCCTTGATGACACGTCCAAAGACATTAATCTTGTCATTCAGATCCAGGATTGGTGCTGTTGTAATAAATAGATCAAATCCTCCACCTTCATGTTTCACCTTGGAAGTACCAAGCATAAATGCTTCGTGCTTAAGACTGAACATTATGATAGCCAATTCAGCGATGAGAATGAAGTAAGGGGATCCCAAGGCAACTGTAAAATACACAATAACAGTAAATGATGTGCAAGGAAGACCTTGGGTCCAGTTGGCTATAATGGTTTCCCATCAAAGTCCATTCTTCTGTAGCTTCAGGTCTTTCAACTTTACTACCGTGGATGACAGAGTTCTTGATTACACGAGTAAATTGCATCTCTTTAAAGTGACCCTTCTGACTGCAAACACAACAACAACAATATCATACTTAAGCATCCATGTGAACCATCAGCAAATGGACCAGCATGCCAAGATTTTTATCATTCTTGTTCTAGGCATCTAGTTGAGGCAGCATTTTGTTTTGCACCCATTGATTATGAAGAACTGAATACACATTGTGAAGTCCTTAAAGATTCTGATTTTAGGATAAAACAGAAGATGAGTTCCTAATGAGGAATTTGTGACAAGCTGTCCATGGCAAATGTTAGAACACCCATGAATCTGCAGATTGTTCTCAAAGTTCCGAATCAAATATTAAATTAGAGATCAGTTCAATAAGAATGGGAACGTTGAAAATTTGGGGTTCCAAAGAGAAGCACATAGCCTGAGCATGGGTTAAGTGGTGGAGATTCATGAAATCAACACTAGCATTTCAGCTTGAAACCGTGAACTGCCACAACCACAAATTGTCAAATGATCACCCACCTGACCCATCCTTGAAGGAGAAAAGAAAAAGGTAACGATGGTGAGATTCAAAATCCATCTTTCCTGTGCTCTTATAATTGTCACGGGAAGGAATGAAGAAGACTAGAGATCCAATCAAACATATGAATCCCTCTCTCTCTTTTCGCTTTTTTCCTCTCAAAATCAGGGAGAAAATAGAAAGAACAGAAAAAGGTGGATTTAACATGTTCAAAACCTTTTTATCCCGACCCTATTTTCCAAAAATTAAAACTTAGGTAAGTGTTTCTTAAAAATATGTCCCAAAAAACATCCTTTTGCCCCTTATTATTTCAATCGCAGGTTGTTTTGAACGTTTTCTAGGATCTCATATAAGCACTATCCCAAAATTTCTCCTTCTAGAAGCATGTGTAGAAGTTACCAGCTGCTGCATGTGAGGTAGGGAAGAGATGAATGCTTGGACTTGTCAACTTATTAGACAAGGTTGCTTGTTAGATCTATATGAACTAGGAGTAATTTAATTGTCATCTCTGTTAAAGAACAAACCAAAAACAAAAAAGGAAAGAAAATGAATGAGAAGTTATACCAATTACACACCTGAAGTCAATGAATTCATCAAAAATGTCAGGAGAACCATCCTTGTAAAGTTCCACGGTTATCAGGCCTTTCGAGGTGCTTATAAGCTACCAGAGATATAACAAGTTAACAAAGTCTAGGAAAGATAAGGATTACAAAACAAAAAAAAACATTGAAATATGCAATTATAGCCAATAAAAAACATAGAGGAAAACTTCACATTTGAAAGAGAAACAGCGGTATCCTATCATATGCTATAATGTAAGGAAGATAAGTAGATAAATTTTACCCTTGACGATAGGCAAAGATATAAAAAAAAAAAATTTATCAATTTTTTTCCCTTGAATGGAAATGACAAGTTAATATTGAATAATACCACCAATAGACTTGAAGAACAAGCTAGTAGTATGACAGAAGGAAAGTTGAAGAACATGAGAGGAGTGCGGAACTGGCTGCCTGTCACACTTGCATGCTCAAAGCTGGTATCAGTGTTGTCAAAAGTGAAAAGCTCTAAAAAGCGCTCCAAGTCTATTGGGGCTTTAAGCGCGAAGCGTAATTAAAATGTGGGCTTTAGTGAAAAAAGGCGCAATGGAGGAAAAAAATAAATATATGCGTAATCTAAGAAAAAAGAGTAACATATTCACTCATAATGTTTTACTCAACAACTAATACACTTATTTGTCGATTATTATTGTTGTTTAATAATGCCCAGTTCAAGATAGAACTCATGGGCAATAAGGCACACGCCTTAGTGCCTTGCCTGCACCGCAACATAGCTTAAGCGAGGCGAAGTGCGCTCCCAGAGCTTTTCTGAGCTTCAGGGCTTAAGCGCGCCTTAAATGAGCCTTTGACAACACTGCCTGGTATCCAGTAAACAAATGCTTGCTGACTAGCTAAGTGAGATAGAAACAGTCATGAAAACCAGCTCCGCGAGAAAGCAGGAAAGAGGATTTTTTGAAACTTACAGCATATTTAGGAATATCAGATTTCTTCCGCTCAATAGCCTGCAGCAAAGAAAAAGGTAAAGATATACATGAGTGCAAAGGAATATATAGAAAGGCAAATGCAGTTTCTAGGATTTAAATATACAGTTTGCACCCAAGGGTGTGGCCTAGCAGTAAATAAAGTGGGTGAAAATCATGGGAGTGCAGGGTTCACATCTTAGCAGAGACAAAAAAGCAAGGTGATTTCTTCCATATGCCGAAACCTTGGTGGGCAAAATTACCCAGTGCATGTGCTAGTAGAAGTTTACAGGTACCCGGTGGAGTAATTTAGGTGCGAGCAAATTAATCCAAACACCACACTATTATTAAAAAAAAATGATGTATCATAGTCGAGACCAGAAAAAACTGCATAAATTGGTCACTGGAGCTCAAGAAAGATATTTGCAACTCCCAATCAAATATTATCTACCAACCAAAATAAGTGTTGTAGAATTATTCATACCTTGCTGGTAGATAGATCATCGTGTGTCTGAACAATTGATCTAGCCAGAAAAGAAGAACGTCCAAGTATGAGGAAAAAACATCTATCCAAATGCATCTTGTCATAAAATATTCAACAAATGTACAAGTGAGGCATTGTTGATGAAACAAATATTCATCCCATATCATCCTTCCTCAGCAATCATACATTATTTAGAGTTCTTCACACCAAATAATTACTAAGTTTACACATATTATGATGGACTCATGCAACACTTGGATCAACGATAATAAGGGGCTCAGAATGAGCTCTTTCTGTCGAGATAAATTAATAAATAAATAAATAAGAGTATGGATAAAACTTTAAATGAGGTGGTCACTCAATGTAACATGATAGAAGGGCAGACAAAGGTCTTGAGTTCACATCTCATTGCAACCATAATCTAAACAAGTATTTCTATGTGCTTAATCCAAGACCTAAATAATTCGATTTTCCTCTAAAAATATGAACTGCCCTTAGATAACCACGTCTAGAACTTTTCGAATACTCTCTTACAGAATAACAGTCATAGAATTCACAGTTCTCCTCCAAGCAACAGCATCCAAGCTAATCTCTGGCTGCCGTTACCACCTTAATACAACACCACCCCGCCATCAGCTGCACATTTACTTCTCGATTAGACTGTCATTTACCCTATGGTAAGTAGCATTAGCACTAACACTAGTTTTGTGTCAGACGTGGACAAGCTAATTAAAAGAAGTTAGCAAGTTGCAGAACATATGATACAAGAATATGATAAAGTTATATTCTTATGTCCATAATTATTTTTCTATATAGACATAATTTAACCCAAAAAAGGAAAGCTAGTAACAAAAAGGCACAAATAACATACTTTATTTGGAAACTTCCCACTATCATAACGACTCAAGTCATTTAATATCAAGTAATGATTAGAAGATCCAAAGTAGCACTTCCTCCGTTACTTTTTATGTTGACTGGACATGAAATTTGAGAAACAAAGGAAAACTGTTACTAATATATAAGCTAAACAGATATAAAGAGTAAGAAATTTGCCCTTATACTAACTATTATATGGTAAGAGCTCCACAAGTTCATGTCTTTCTCTCTCCTAACAAAATATCAACTTCTAAAATAGTATGTTAAATTAAATAATTTCCAAGTTCATAAAAATGTCAATCTTTTCTCGGACAGAGTAAAAAGAAAATAGTTTCACATGAAGTTGGACTTGAGGAGTACCAAAATACTTCTGAAAAAGAAAAGACGCAAGACTAGAAGTCTCTTAGTATCAAACAATGTGAAAGAGTTGCAAAAACTATATTATAAACATCATTATTGTCCTTATTTCTGGCACTCCGACAATATGGTTCCCCACAAAAGCAAACAAGTTTCTTGAATGGATATATCAAAACTCAAGAAGCTCATGAAATGGACATGATTAGGTTACTGTTGGACATATATAGAAGTGGTATACAAAAAGTTCCGGTATTAATTTTCTGTACAGTGCAAATATGGAACCAGAAATTAGGGAATTCCACACCTTGGACTTTACATCAACTACTAGCTATGGTAATGTCATATCCAAACACTTTGTCACCTCACTTTTTTTATGAAAATAGTATGAATCGGAACCATTACCAAAAATGCCAAGTTAAGAACCTTGACAACTGCCAAAGAGAACTTTACTCTCTGAAGCAAAGAACATTGCATGAGTTCAAAAATATTAGAAAAATAACCACTTTCTCTGTTACTCCCAGAATGTAGTTTCGTCTCTATACCTATGCAGTTATGCTATACGTCCAAATTTTACCTAAGTAACTACATTATTTTCCAAGTCAAAGCTAAACAATCAAACGATAGCCAATAATAAACAAATTGAACAGAAAACTTAGATAATACAAGCAGCTACGAACAATTATCCAAGGAAAGATTTTGACTAACCTTCGAAACCAGTATCTATAGGTAGAATACAGGGAAAACACCATCACAGCAACAATTAGGATGCATACTATAATTGTAGTAACACTGACACCACTTGGCCCCTTCTTCTTTTTGCTTTGCAATAGAAGAGCTTGAGGTTTTATCCTCGCCATTAAACTCTCAAGTAAGTATTAATCTCTGAAAATATCATAACAACTGTTGGGAATAAACCCCTTGCCAAAATAATATTCACGATAATAAAGCGGAATAATAATGTAGCACCGAGATACGGTAATTAACAAGAATAAAAGAGTAACAATGACACCAAGATTTTTACGTGGAAAACCCTTCTGAATAAGGGGAAAAAACCACGACCCCGAGAGGAGCAACTGATATCACTATAGTAAGGAATTTTACACTTTGTAGGTCGGAGATAAATACTCCAAAGACCACTACAACACTCAAAAGAAATAACCCTCTTTTGATATTCCCACCTCACTACAATATCGCTCACTCTCTATTTTCCTCACAGACTATTTTCTTATACCTTGTCTGTGAAACCTCACTCTTTCTTTCTCTCTTTGTTGGTGTGTAGAAATGAGAGTTGAAGCTCTCCTTTTATAGCCAAAGCTTCACCCTCTAAAGCCTACAATATTTGACAATTTACACACACTTTTCACAATTCAACAAAGTTGGCTACCAAACCAAAGAAATTCAACAAGGTTGGCTACCAACCAAACCAAGTCAACAAGGTTGGCTACCAAACCAAAGAAAACTCTTATTAGGCACATGCCTAATACTTCTTCAATGAGATGGACATCATCAATCTCCCCCTCCAGTCTCATTCATCCAGAGGAGGTAGCACTGTCTTCTAGTTTGAATGCATGCCGACAAGTTCTTTGCATAGCTCGAACTTGTTCCTTGGTACCACCTTGGTCAGCATATCTGCGGGATTCTCATTTGTAGAAATCTTCAAGACTTTTAGAGATTCATCATCTACCATTTCTCGAATCCAATGATATCTCACATCAATGTGTTTGGTCCTTGCATGGTACATAGAGTTCTTGCTAAGGTCTATTGCACTTTGACTGTCACAATAGACGACATACTCCTTCTGATGCAATCCAAGCTCTTGAAGGAATCGCTTGAGCCATATCATCTCCTTGCCAGTTTCTGTAGCGGCAATGTACTCTGCTTCAGTTGTTGAAAGTGCAACGCACTTCTGCAACTTAGACTGCCATGATATAGCTCCCCCTGAAAATGTAAACAAATATCCAGTAGTGGATTTTCTGTTGTCAATGTCACCTGCCATATCAGCATCTGTATAGCCCTTCAAGATTGGATCAGATCCTCCAAAGCACAAACAATCTCCCGTGGTACCTCTCAGGTACCTGAGTATCCACTTGACTGCTTCCCAATGTTCCTTTCCAGGATTTTCAAGAAACCTGCTGACAACACCAACTGCGTGAGCAATATCAGGTCTAGTACATACCATTGCATACATCAAGCTTCCGACTGCTGAAGAATAAGGAACTTTAGCCATGTTCCCTTTCTCCTCCACTGTTGTAGGACACATCTTCTTACTCAACTTTAGATGACCAGCAAGAGGTGTGCTGACTGGCTTAGCATTCTTCATGTTGAAGCGTTCTAGTACACGTTCAATGTACTTCTCCTGAGATAGCCACAACTTTCTACTTGTTCTCTCTCGAACTATCTTCATCCCTAGAATTTGTTGTGCTGGGCCCAAGTCCTTCATATCAAATGACTTGGACAGATCTCCTTTCAACTTTGCTATCAACCCCTTGTCTTTTCCTACAATTAACATGTCATCCACATACAACAACAATATAATAAAGTTATTCTCAGAAAATCTTTTGAAGTATACACATGGATCAGAATAGGTCTTTAGGTATGTTTGACTTTTCATGAATGAGTCAAACTTCATGTACCACTGCCTTGGTGCCTGCTTCAATCCATAAAGACTCTTATTCAATTTGCACACCATGTGTTTCTTTCCAGCTACTTCAAATCCTTCTGGCTGCTCCATATAAATCTCCTCTTCCAAATCTCCATGAAGAAATGCAGTTTTCACATCCAACTGCTCCACTTCAAGATCTAGGCTAGCTGCTAAGCTCAAAATTGTTCGAATAGAAGTCATTTTGACAACAGGTGAGAAAATTTCATCAAAATCAATACCTTTCTTTTGTTCGAAGCCTTTAACCACCAATCGAGCTTTGTATCTGACCAGCTTGCCATTTCCATCTTTCTTGAGTTTAAAGACCCATTTGCATTTGAGTGGTCTTTTACCCTTTGGAAGTTCAACCAGCTTGTATGTGCCATTTTTCTGTAGAGATTCCATCTCTTCTTGCATAGCTTTCATCCACTGGTTCTTTTCTGGATGGGACAACACCTCCTTAAGACTTTCTGGCTCCCCCTCATCACTGATGAGGACATACTCTGTGGAAGGGTACCTGCATGACTCTACCCTTGGCCTCTCTGATCTCCTCAGAGGTTGAGGTTGTTCTTCTCCCTGAGTGGGGTGCTCCACTTCCTCGACACCTTCATCAAGTTGCTCCCCCTGCTCAATAACCTCACCAGGTTGCTCCCCCTGCTCGGCAACCTCGTCGGTCGTACTTTCTGCACTTGTGGGATTGTTAGAAGTAGAAGGAATAGTAACAAAGTTAGGAATTATACCATTCTTCGCCTTTTCTGACATATCAGCAGCAGTTCCAACTTCACTTTCTCGGAAGACTACATCTCTGCTTCTGATGACCTTCTTCTTTACAGGATCCCACAGTCTGTACCCGAACTCTTCATCTCCATATCCGATAAATATGCAGGGAATAGATTTATCATCCAGCTTTGTTCTCTGCTCTTTTGGTACATGTGCAAAAGCTCTGCAACCGAACACCTTCAGATGCGAGTAGGACACCTCCTTGTTGGTCCAGACTCTCTCTGGGATTTCAAACGCCAACGGAACTGATGGACTCCTATTGATCAGGTAACAGGCTGTCTGAACTGCTTCACCCCAGAATGACTTAGGCAGTTTAGCCATTCTGAGCATGCTTCTCACCTTCTCCACAATGGTGCGGTTCATCCTCTCGGCTACGCCATTGTGCTGTGGGGTTCCAGGAACTGTCTTTTCATGTCTGATCCCATGACTTGAACAATACTCTTCAAATTCCCTTGAAGTGTACTCACCTCCATTGTCACTTCGGAGACGCTTTAGCTTTCGACCCGTCTCCCTTTCTACTAGAGCATGAAACTTCTGGAAAACTTGAAACACCTGATCTTTGGTTTTCAAAATATAAACCCATAATTTTCGTGAAGCATCATCAATAAAAGTAACAAAATATTTGTTACCGCCCATTGATTCAATTTCCATTGGGCCGCAAACATCAGAATATACTAAATCAAGTATATTCAATTTTCTTTCAGACGATGTCTGAAATGAGACTCTATGCTGCTTACCAAATAAACAGTAGTCACAAGGTTTTACCGTTGTACCTTTGGCATAAGAAATGAGTGATTTCTTGGCAAGAATCTGCAATCCCTTCTCGCTCATATGACCCATTCTTTTGTGCCATAAATCTACAGAAATCTCATCTTGTGCCGCGTTCAATTCACCTTGGCATATTTCTGCATTTGTCCTGTACAACGTGCCACGAGCAACTCCCTTTGCAATCACCAATGATCCCTTAGTGAGTCTCCACTTTTGATTTGCAAAATAGCTCTCGTATCCATCTCGGTCTAAAGCAATTCCCGAGATCAAGTTCATCC